ACCTTTCATAAACACTCAACAAAATCTTTCTGGCCTACCAAAAGCCCGGGTGTGCAAATCCCAACTCCCTAATACAGAAATCGTGGAGGGAGAGCCAGTGAGCAGAGCCTGCAGTTGGTAAGATGGGCGAGTGCAGGAACCTGGTTCTTTCAATGCGCTGAGGAGACAGGCTCCACCCGGCCCAAGAGGTGGGGGGAGGGGGGCGAAGGAGAAGCAGGAGCCAGAGAGGGTTTTTCCCAGGTGACGCCTGACCTGAGTTTTAGAGGAGATTCTGAGTTTTCCAGGGCAGAGAAGACGGGGTGATGTTTGGATATGTTTACCAGATCCTGACCATCTTGGAAGCTACTTCAGGGGGAGGTTGGTTGTAGGCTTTGCAGCTAATTTGCTATAGCAATATAGTAGACTATATTAGTATAATATAACATAGTATGGAATTGTATACCGTGCAATTGTACATTAGGTGCTATGTATACTTTATGAACTAATAAGCAACGTTAGCGTCACAAGGTCTTTTCCTTCTTTTTCCCCTCTGCTCCCCTCTTCTATTTCAACATCTTTTTTTTTCTGAAAGAGGGTATGGTTTCTGTACCAAATAGGAAAATTAACTCATCCCAAAGACACCATCTGGGACAAGATCTATATGCTTTTCTCAAATGGATATTAGATGATATTATGCAATTAATACCATACTGAAGCATCTATGGGTGAAAGTCTTGTCTGCAACTTACCTTAAAAACTGGGGGAGGGCTTTGGGAGAGAAAGCAGATGTGACAAATGCAAAAATGTAAATAATTATTGAACTGTTAGAGGGTATATGTGTTTATTATAGTATTTTTCAATTATTCTACAGTTTAAAATTCAAAAAGTTAGGACGATATAAATGGGTTGCTCACTTGAAACAAAGGATTGAATTGGTCAGCAGCAGATTCCTTTCAGAGTCTCGCCTTCACATGATGCTTTTTGCCTCATGTATTTATCTTTGTTCAGATGTGCTTTGTCTGTATTTCCATCTCAGAGGGTCAAGATGCCAGAATACGATCTCATGTTCAGAAATTTCCTCCTTTGCATTGACTCAAACCGAGACGATCAGACAGTTCCAGGTGAAGATCCCAACCTTCCCTTACAATTCTGACCTTATAACAAGGGTCAGACTCTCATCTTTAATTGCAGCTATTTAGAGCCAGTGTGTTTTGAACAGCATTTAATTAGCTGAGCAGTAAGTCTAAGCAGATAATAAGCACTCTGCACTTGGCGGGAAGTTGTAAGGACACCTTGAGAAAGATTGTCCTTTGATCAGCCTTTCCAAAGCAAAGCAGTCATTCTGCAGCTGTTCCATTAAAAAAACAACCCCAAAACCAAAAAAAACCCCACTCTGGTCAAAATAAGTGAGTAAAATATTATATTCTGTATCTTGAAGATACACATTACATATTTTTTTTGCTGAGGGAAGGCCCTGGTTTCTCTAAAGCCATTTATTTGAAACAAACAAAGTCCTTGGAAAATATAATTTACCAAGAAGAAAAGATAATCTAAATAACCATATATCTTTTAAAGAAATTAGATTCATTATCAAAAACTTCCCTAGAAAGAAAACTCCAGGTCCAGATGATTTACTGGAAAATTCTATCAAACATTTAAAGAAGAATACTAGCAGTATTAAATTCTTTCAGAAAATTGAGGAGAGAGCCCTTCCCAACGTTTTGTGAAGCTAGCTTTACCCTGATTGTAAAACCTGACAAAACTATTAGAGAAAAGGAAAATTCCAAACCAATATCTCTTATGGGCATAGAAACAGAAATCCTTAACCAAATTAGCAGATCTAATCCAGCAATATATGAAAAGGACAATGCATCACGGCCCAGGGAGTGTATCCCAGGAGTGCAAAGTTGCTTCAATGCTCATAAATCAATCAATGTATTCACCATGTTAACAGAGTTAAGGAGAAAACCCAATACAATTATATCGGTAGGTGCAGAAAAATCATTTGACACAACTTAACTATTTCATTCATGATTTTTTAAAAACTCAGCAAATTAAATTTCCTCAACCTGATGAAGACCATATATGACATATTTAATGATAACACATTGAATACTTTTTCTCTAGAATAGTGAACAAACTAAAAATGCTCACCCACACTAACTTACTGGTTTGCAACATTTTGAAATGTATCAAAAATTTAAGGCATATTTGATGAATAAAGGAATGGATAGATAGAAATGTGATAAAGCAAATATAACAAATAGTTCATTATTGACTCTAGGTGGTAGGCATGTGCTTGTTCACTCTGTACTTTCTCCAGCTTTTCTGTATGTTTGAAAATGGCCATGATAAGATCTTAGGGAAAAGGCAGGCAAAGTCCTGCATTAGAGAGAACCGCTTAACTTTAACTCTGTGTTTTCCAAACTTGGGAAAATGTAAGAAACCCTGCAGAAATACTCTGGAAAACACTTCCTATTTAGATTTAGTCTACCCCCATTTTAATGTTTTAAATAAGAATGGCATGCCATGTCTATTGCTGCCTAACAAACCCCCTCAAAACACACTGGCTTAAAAGAATGGCCATTGTTTATTTCTCAAGGCCTCTCTTCAGGTGGCCTTTAGGTGGTTTTGTCAATGCAGCGGCCTAATGGCCAGGCTCCAGGAGGAGGAACCAGAAGCTGTAAGTCCTCTTGAGGCCTGGGAAGCTTCTCAGAACGTCACATCTGCATTCCTCTGGTTAAAGGAAACCAAAAGGCCAGCCCAGATTCAAGGAAGGAGGAAACAGACTTCACTCCTGGTATGAGGAGCAGCCCGGGCATGCAGGAAGAGGGAAAGCTGATGACAGTCATCTTTGGAGATTATCACAGAGGAGATTTGGTACCAACATTTCCATTTAAAGCACAGGTTGTTTGCCTTATTCAAGATGTTTAAAATTGACAAATGAATAGATGGTTTTTTTTTATCTTACAAAAGCAAGCTTTGGTTTTTAGATTACAGGGCTTTGTTTGTTAGGCAGCAAATTTCAAACCACACTGAAGTGTTGATTTGAGGTGGAAAGACTCCTGAACTTAAGAGCCAGAAGGTCTAGGTGTCTATTTTGACAGCTACTTACCAGCTGGGGAACTTGGGCAAACACTTAACCTCTCTGAACCTAAATCCCCTTGTTTGTCAGGTGGTGTTAATGGTATTTAACTCACTGAATTTTATTTAGGGCCAAAAAGGAGACAGAGATCTTCATGATTCCTGGAAGAGCAGTTCCAAGGGAACTGGAACCTGAACCGATTGAGCTCTGAGGAGTCCTCAGGGGGTTTTGTGGGCCTTCACTCTAGGACCCGCCATGAACTGGAGTTGGCCCCCTTCCGGGGACTGCTGCACTGTCCACGCGTGTTTCCTATCACCAACGACTCGTTGTTCCTCTCTGCCCTCAGTATTTTCTCTTTACCACACAGTTCTTGATTTTTTCATTTCAGCCTGCCACGGAGTATCACAGCCAAGCCTCACAGACAGGGCCGGGCGCTGGCTAACCGGCCTGTGAGCCAGCAGCGGCTTGCCTCTGCTTTCATAAACGCAGCTTTATTGGAACACGGTCAGTCATTCACTGTAGTCTGGGGCCTCTTTCAGCTACAAAGGCTGTGTTGAGTAGTTGCAACAGAAACCATGTGGTTCACAAAACCTGTTTGGCCTTTTGGAGACAGTTGCCTGGTCCCTGTTCCAGATGCTTCCTCGCTGCTCCTGTCTCTAGGCGTTCACATATCCTCCGTTCTCACTACCTCATTCTGGAAGTATTTCCCAGTTCAAGTTCCTGGAAGTGAGAAAACCAAATTCTTCTGAAATCCTTGTTCCTCAATCTGAAATGAGATTGAAGGACACCTTCTTTCCATGCCAGGCCACCTCACCAGCTATGGGGGGGTGACATGCCCTCTCCCACCCTGTTCAATCCACTGTGGCTGAGCTATGGGTGCTATGTAGTCAATACAACAGAGCCGCCTCAGGGGGGCTTGGGCCGAGCGGGCACAGGTACAACTGCAAATAAAATGAAACGAAATGAGCTAATACATGTAAAATTACATGGTAATGTACTTGAGCCACATATTTATGAAGTGTCAAAAGTATCTGCCAATTAAGATCAACCTGAAATGGGATACAGTATCCCTGAGATTAACTATATAAATCAGTGACAAAATAGGATGTAACATAAAAATTCAGTTCACACACAATATTACAGCTCTATGGAATAATAGGGCATATATTACATTATTATTACATGAAATACCATTAATATTTCCCAGGAGACAAAAAGTAGGTGGGGGGAGAGGGGGAGACTAAATGAGAGGTTAAATTAAGATTGGCTGAGTATCGGCCCTACCTAGATGCTAATGATTTTCCTTATTTGGGAAATAAAACCCCCAGCCATTTGTCCATTATTAATTATGCACTTTCTCGCCCGGCCGGGCGTGGCTCAGCGGTTGAGCGTCGACCTAGGATCCAGGCGATCAGGGTTCGATTCCTGGTCGGTGCACATCCTGGTCGGGGGCGTGCAGGAGGCGGCCCATCAATGACTCTCTCATCATTGATGTTTCCATCTCTCTCTCCCTCTCTTTTCCTCTCTCTGAAATCAATAAAGACATATTAAAAAAAAAAAAAAAAAGATTTAAAAGAAAAAAAAAGTATGCACTTTCTCAAGGACGAGTAATGAGCAACACTGAGCTTGGTGCTAACCAGCCCTTCCACCAGGTTCCTACTGGCGCTGGGGCCGCGCCCGCCGGGGTGCCTGCCCCTCTGCCGCCCGCCTAGGGCGTGGCCCCCGCTCAGGTCCTGTACGAGGACACCACCAGCACTTGTGAAACAGTCTTCTAATGCTTCTAGCAATGCAGAAGGCATGGTATGCAGAGTGCACTTTAAACAGAAATCTGGCAGCATTTTCAATAAAGAAACTTTAAAAAAATTTCCACGGGAAAGAAACTTTTAGAACAATGACTACACCCACTTAGCCTCCAAAAAATGATAACGCAGACAAGTAGATTCCAAAATAACTTTTATTGCTATATAAAAAGGAGTCCAGAAAAAATAGATGCGTATTTTTTTCTACAAAATTTTAACATATTCAGGCTATTTAATATTTCCCCACAAAGGTGCTGAGCTAAAAAGACAAATACAAATGCAGAAATCTTTTCCAGGGACCTTATAGAGATAAAGAATAACAGTTTTCTTTCTTCTGGGCTTTCCTCTGCGTAGCTCTAAGACGTAGCAGTTACAGTTTTCTGTGGTAAATCTGAAAAAGGTCATGCCAAGGTAAAACGCGATCGTGGTGCAATGAAACCAGCCGAAAGCTCCGCTGCTTCCTTGAGCGTTTCGACTGGTCAACCGGTATCACGCTGGAACTTCCAGCTCACAAGACATCCTCTTGATTTTGTCCGTTAGAAAACAGAAACCGCTCGTCAGTGTCCCTTAGAAGGTGCGACTGCCTTCCTCGGCATTTGGTTGTGAGGCCTGACACGCTGTTTCTGCAGCGCCGCAGCTTGACTGAAACCACACGAGGGAAAAGCAAGTCGGCTGGAGGGTGGACGCGGTGTGGCCCGCGGAGCAGGGGAGGCTGTGCGCTTCTGATCACATTAAATCAAAACGTATATCCATTTGGGTTTCTCAATAAACCCTTTGAGGGAAAACGCTTTAGTCTTGATTTACGTGAGTGTGCAAATAAAACGTTCGCCCCCCCTGAAATTAGATTATGGGGTAAGCCCAGCCAGGTGACCTCTGCGCATGATATAAGGTCAAATTCTTCGTGGAGATTTCAGGCACTGTTTTGGAATGGATACCTAAGGCTTTCTTCTCCCCTATTCTTTTTGCGGACTTTTTAAAGAGATATTTTGGGGGCAGAAGCTTTAGGTGGGAAATATTAGCTTTTGAAAGATAAAGGTACAATTATCCTTAGAATAGAAAGCTCATTAAAAGACGTCTTGAACAGAAAGTTTTTCTAGGTATATTTGGCTACGCCTTGTTTTCATAAAGGCGGAGAAAGAAAGAAGAAGAAAGAAAGAAAGAAAGAAAGAAAGAAAGAAAGAAAGAAAGAAAGAAAGAAAGAAAGAAAGAAAGAAAGAAAGAAAGATCCTATAATACCTGTAAGATTAACCTTACATTAGCCCACAAGAAAGATAAAATAGAGGGCTGAGATGAGGGGTGCTCAGATACGTTCAACAGAGCAGAATATTCTAGCACTAAACCCATAATTAATGTTTCACTAATAACCTCCTTCTTGGCCTATATAAAATGAAATGGCAGTTTTAATTTTTGAGGCTGTCACTGACCACCACCCCCCCCCCAAACTCCTGGAATTCTGTGCCCCTCCATGTAATGAAATATCCATTTATCAAATCTTTGTATATGCCAGGCACTGAGGTAGGCTCTAGCAGTCCTCCTGACACCATTACCAATTTTGGAAATAGAATTACGTAAGGAAACAGTGTTTCAGAGAAGGGATTTTGAATGGGTATCCACGAAGCTTAAGGGATGTGATGGAGTGTATTCAATATTCAATCTATGGAAGTAATCACCAGTTGTCCTAAAAGGAAATCCACTAGGCACTGAAAAAAGTCAAGTGTATTTGGTGTTAAACTATAAGCTTCTTATCCACATTCAAATGCTCCAGTTTAACACTGCAGGGAAACCAAAAATCAACTCCAATATGAAAACTATCATTTCAGCATAGGCACTGCTCTAGGTTTTAATCTGTGTCAGTCCAGAGAGGTTACCATGAACAAAAGCTGTCACCTCTGAGTCTCAAATTACTACTGATTACACAAAGCTCAAGATATCCCCTAAAATTCCACCCAAATCTGGAAGGACCTGAGCCATTGCCCCCAGGAAGGGCAGACCATGAGATATCTCCTGTCTTCAAACCCAAAACTGTTCAGCAGCTAAGATTGTAAAAAACAAAAATCTTAATTGATCATCTTGAAAGCTACAGAAACTCTTGTCCAAACCCTTCTTTGTCATCAGGACACAATTTTAAGAACAGAGAGGCATCAAGGTTGGCCAGGGCTTGTTGGCAGTGGAAGGGTACCCTGATCTCTTTGCAGGCAGGGGGGCCCTTCTCTTTGGTTATCAGAAGAATCTGCCTTGGAAAACAAGAGCCAGAAGGTAAACATCAACCATTCCACTATACTCCAGTAATTGAAATTTGTTCAGGGGAGGGTCAAAGTAGGTACAAATTAGTATAAAACAGAAAAAACTGCATAGTGAAGTGGTTAGACTCATGGACTGAGGAGCCAGACTGGCAGGTTTTGAATCCGTTCCACCACTTAGGACGTTGGGGGCAAATAGCTAACTGTTCCAAGCTTCAGATCTCTCATCTGGAAAATGTAGATAATAATAGTCCCTACCTCACAAGGTTTGTCTGGGGATCGAATGAGCTAGTATCTCTAAAGTGCTTAGAATAGTGCTTGGCACACAGTAAGTGCCATGCAACTCCTTTTAAAAAATAAAAACAGAAACTTGAGAAAAAGTGCTCTTTGGGGTTTTTGGAGCAGTTTATACTGCTTAAGAATTCAGGCATAGTTTCATTCTAATTAGGTTTGGAATCTGGATCATAAAATATACCAAACCCCAGGGAAGCCTTGGGAGTAAGTTGAGTTTTAGAAAAACTTCCAGGGCTGCCAGTTTATCAGATTTCCCAAGCAACAAACACATTTTGAGCATCCGTGTTCTGCAAGGCACAGGATGCTTTGGTCCTCAACAAGAGGTAACAGAACCACAGTTTATAGCCACTATCATTTACATTGATCATCTCCTTTCCAATTCAGATAAGTTCATAGGCCTCGAGCAGTACAAGCTCTTTCAAGAAATCCTACTTGATGATTAAAACAGATATAAACTCTATGGAGCTCAATCATCTCATGGCTAAATAGGAGAAGCGAAACCGCAGAGCTGGGTTTTAAAAGCGAAGTTACATGGCTACACCTCTACAGCGTCTACATGGTGGACCTCTGACTGGCCTCGTCAAGCGCAACGTTTCTTTTCCTGGCTGCTGCTTCGCTGTTTAGCTCTGAATCTGATTTGTCCGTGTTGCCAAAGTTTACTGCCATGGAGCCTTCCACTCCTTCTGGAGCACCTCCGTTTGGCTGAAGAAGAATAGAATTTGGTTCTTTAGGACGTTTCCATTGTGGTCTGGTGACTATCCAAAAAATGAGGGCCCCAAACACCAGAATCAGAAGGCCGAGGGTATTTGTAAAAACACCTTCTGGTGGGAATGAACTGTAGGCAGGGTTTTCCCTACAAAAAGAGAGAGAGAGTCCAATTACAAACAGCGTGAGACAGCAACGTGCCAAACAGTTTTTAATTTCTCTGCTCAAAATGCACGCCGGTACAGCTTCAATGCTAGTTCCCTTAAAGCTTAATACTAAGGAGAAATGCATGCTATAATTCACTCAATGCGATAGTCGGATATTGTTAAAAAAATCATTAGTATAAAAATAGCATCTGGAGCACCTGTATCACTTAAAAGATGAAAAAAAGGGTGATACAAAAATGTACCTATACCAGAATTGCAATTAATAAAAACATGCACATCAAAAAGATTGTAAGGGCATGCATCATTTCAATAGTTGTTTTAAGAGTAGTACAATTTGTTCGACTTTGGGGTCCTTCTTCAAGCATTTAGTAATGTTATATTGTATAATATATATGCAATGTTATATTGTATTTATATACAATGTTATATTGTATAATAAATGTTTTTAAGACTAGATATTTTAAAAATTTTGTTACACTTTATTACGTTTTTCCAATGAATACGTATTTGACATTTTATAGTTTAAGTATACAATTAGGAAAAGTATATAACTTACAGGGAAAATAGCAGTTTCTCAGTCACTCCCATAAGGGCTGTTGCAATCACTGTTCCAAAGATGAGAAGTCCAGAATAAACATGTATGGGCATGAGAAATCCTCGGAGAGAAAGCGGAGCCAAAGGAAGCAGAAAGACGAGAAAACCTAGGAGAAGCTAAACATCAAAAAGTACAAAGGTTATCATTTAATTTTAAGTTTTAACTACGGTAATTTAAAAATTGTTATTTTAAAAGCAATATGTGCAAAATGAGAAAACATTTCTTATAGAACCAAGGGCATAAAATGAAAAGTAAGTTTCCCCGATCCAGTTCCACTGCTCAAAAGTAACACCTATTATTACCTTCCAAAGCATCCTTCCAAAAATTTCTGTGCCTATAGAAACGAATGTGTGTGTGTGTCTATACATATTTGTTCTGCATCTTGTGTTTTTGGATATCTTTTCATATCAACACACAATTATCTAATTTATCCTTTGTAACGGCTAATATTCTGTTTTAAGGATGTAACATAATTGATTCAGTTCTTTATTTATGGATGTTCCAGTTTCCAGTTTTTTGCTATCATTACATTAACAAGGCTACAGTGAACATTCTGGTACTTAGTGTTTTTTTTAAAATCAATTTTTTTAAGGTTACCAAGTAGGAAGGCAAAAAATTTTAAGCCACTAAAACTAAGTACAATAGGACACATTTCGTCAGGTCAATCTAAAAAACTATGTGGAAAGAAGTCAACAATTTTGTTTTATGAGGAAGAAATGAGTTCTGCAGAAGAGTCGTCTTCATTTCCTTGCTGACTAAATCCCTAGTGGAATACTCCTCTGCAGAGAAGCCAGGAAGATTCCTACGTAAGCTGGAATCTTAGCACCTTCTGCTTTATTTTGTTGACTCATGCCCCTTGCTGTGAAGTATTCTCTTCTCAAGAAAATAGGGATAACTTTAGACGCGTTTAAAGAGACATTTTTTCCCTACCTATTTAGGATCCTACCTATTTAGGATCTACCACCCCAACAAAAAACGTGTGAGAAGAGAGGAGAATGGGGAGAAATAGCAACATCACTGCTCATCTTTCCGGATTGAGAGCAAAGGACTAATGGGGGGGGGGCAGAAGAATGGAGACAGAAGGGGTCTGAGGCCCCAAAACACATTTATAATCAGTGTAGAAGCAGTGATCATGAATGGAGAGCAGTCAAAAAAATGTATCGGATGAGCTGGTTTGCATATTGTATTGTCCACTTACTGCCGAAAACGCCTGAATATATTAGAAATGGTTCAGGAGGTCCCCGTGGTGGTTCAGAATGTTGCTAATTCTCCTTCGGAATCATCATTGACTTTCAGGTCACTAAATACAGGTCACAGTTTCCAGACCTTATTTTCCGTGACTTCTCAGTAGCATCTGACACTCCTCAAACCTCTCCTCCCCCTTTAATGTTTCCTTTCTCACCCGCCCATCTGCTCAAGCCTGCAAGTGATTCTCTCTCTGACCCCTTATATCACTGATTTTCCAAATCCCATTAATTCTACTCCCTAAATATCTTTAGAAACTACCCACTTTTCTCACTGCTGCTCTTACTCCTCCAAGACACTATCATTTCTCATCCAAACCTCTATAAACGCTGTCAAGTTAGTCTTCCTGCATTTACTCCTGTCCAGCCTCCAACTCCTCTTCTATGCCTACCCCAGGCAGCCTGACCCTCCTCTTCCTCAAATAAAGTGAGCTTTTACCCACACACTATTCCACCCACCTAGAATACTCTTTCCCCTTTCACCACCAAGCTCATGACTTCAAGTCTTGGTCTGACTTCCTTCGTCCCCTCTGCCACATGAGAGCTCCCCCAGAACACTCCGTATACTCAGCGTCTACCAAATACTCAGTGACCTGCCGTCCCCTGTAAGCTTCGTGATGGCAGAGAGCATGGCTCTTTGGGCCCACGCTTGTCTTCTAAAACAATGTATCACCCAAAGCCTAACAAGGTATCCACACATAGTAGGTAATTAACTGTTCAATACATGATTGGATTCATGAATAAAATTTCACTGACATGAAAGGCATGTTCTCAACCATGAAGGTGCCTATGGTCTAGAGCGGAAATGAAAAATGTCATCTTCAGGTCATGAAGGAGCCTCCCAAAGAATTACTTTTCTAATAACCACAGTTGACCTGCATCATTCCAGTACCTTAAGCCCAAGTCTGGGCCTTTCCACGTATTAGTTGGCTTTGATTCTTATGATGCTGTGAAGCATGTATCAGAACCCTTAATTTATAGGTGAGCAAACTAAGTCCAGAGAAGTTTAGTTACGTGCACAATGTCACCAGCTACAAACAGAGGAACCCAATTCAAACAGGTGACCCTGATTCCAAGTCCTGCATCATTAAACACCACCTGCCCTCTGGATCTGAGCAAGGAAGAAGCCAGGGACCAGATTTCCACCTGCTAAATGACAGTCATGAAGTTGTGAAGTGACATTTCTGAGAAGCCTCATTCACACACAAAACAGCAGAAGATAAGAATCTGAATATTTCAGAGAGCAGAAGAAAACCTTAAGACAATTAAAAATGTATTTAATTCACCCAAGTTTAATATTGGAAAGTCTATGGATGCAATTAACTACATTAATAGATTAAAGAAAAACACATATTCATCTCAACTGGCACAGAAAAGCATTCAATAAAATTCTACATCCATTCATGATTCAAAAGAAAAACAAAGCCTTTCACAAACTGCCTGAGGAAGAAAGGAGAAGCCTCTCTACTCAGTGGTAAACTACTGAAGTTTTCTCTTCAAAATAAGAACAAATCAAGGTTCTTATCTCTTTTTAGTGTGCACTTCTTGAATACTTCTATATAGTTCTATCTACTTCAATTCTTCTACACTCTTCAATCCTATACTGCTCAGAGGAAAAGATGTATGATAAAGCTGGCATTGCAGGTAAGTGGCAAGGACAGGGACAATTCAATAAACGGTGCTGGGGAAACAGCTCGCCCATGTGGAAAAAAACGAAGTTGGATCACAACATCGCATCATACACTAAGTTAATTCCAGATGAATTAAGTACTTAATTATCAAAGACAAAACTTTAATACGCTTCATAGAAAAACATAAGAGAAATTAAGATTTTCATTAATATTATTGTGATGTAACCTTTTGGCCATCTGGGGATTTTTTTCTTAAGCCGATGGTTCTCAAACATTACTGTGCATCTGAATCACCAGGAGGGCCAGTGACAACACATTTTTCTGGGCCCCACCCCATAGTTTGTGACCCAGCTGGTCTGGACCGGTGCCTGAGAATCTGTTTTGACTTTGGGGTAGAGAAGGTTTTCATAAACAAGTCACCAAAACAAGGCACACTAACATTAAAAGAAAACATGATAGATTTGTCTTATTAAAATTAGGAACTTATACAAAATACTAACAGAAGCGAAAAGTACAAGCTTCAAACTGGAAGATATATGTAATGCCTACAAATGAAAAGGAATTTGACACAGAACTCCTACAAATCTTTAAGGAAAAAGAAGAGAAACTCATTTTTTTAAATGAACAAAAGACATGAACAGGTGTTTCTTAGAAGAGAAAAATAAGTAATCAGTGAAATAAACATTAAAACCACAAGAAGACATCATTTTATACCCAGTAGCTTGGCAGTAATGAAACTTTAGAAGAGGGTGCCTGTTGGTAAGGACGTGCCATGTGGGACTCTTATACACTGTGGCAGGAACATAATTGGGGTCAACCGCTTTGGAAAATAATTTAGTATTATTTTTTTTAGGCTGAGTCTATAATTCCACGCCTAAGCATACTTCCAGAGAAACCTCTGCATAAGAGAACTGGGAAATGTGTATCTGAATGTCCAATGCAGCATTGTTTGTAACTGAAAATAGCCCAAATGTCTAATAGCAGGAGTAAGGAAATCTGTGGTTTGTTTATACAATGGAACACAAAAGCAACAATGAATGCGCCAGAGGAAACAATGTAGTTGAATGAGTACAACCAAAAGAAAGGTTGCAGAAGGATTAAAACATAGTTGAGTTCAAGCACATATATTATGACACTTTTAAAAGTTAAAGCAAAACCAAACAATATGTTGTTTAGGGATTCACAGTATGTGATAAAATTATAAAGAAAAACAGAGAATGCGAACAAAAAACAAAACACAACACAACACTGCAGGAAAATGGTTACCTCCAGGAGCTGGGATAGGTGGAGAGATGTGTGATCGAGGTGGGTAGGGATTCTATGTTTCCTAAATTAGGTGGATGGTGGAATCACGGGAGTTAATTTTATTATGATACATAACTTCAATATACATACAATAGTTTGTTATTTTAAAAAAGTGCCCCAGAGCCCTAGCTGGTTTGCAGGCTTGATCCCCGGCCCTGGTGGGTCGAGTGCAGGAGGCAACCAAGTGATGTTTCTGTTTCTCTCTTTCTCTCTCTCTCCCCCCTTCTATTCTCTCTGAAAAAGCAATGGAAAAAAATATCCTCGGGTGATGATTAAAAATATTTATATATTTTTAAAAAGTGACCCAGAAGCTAGATCTTACAAGTAGAAAAGAATTCTGCACTTGAAATGCGTTCTAATCCATAGGCATGCATGAGGCAGCGTGCAGACCTGTCCGCTCTTTTTGGCTGTGCTGTTTTCTGCTTGCTTCGCCCTGCCCTCCTTCCTTCATTTACTCAATCAACCTAGACACTGGCTTCATTTGGCGGGTGAAATTCGGATTTTACACATAGCGGCTAAACCAAAGCCAGCAGCACTAAGGGGAGAGGGTCTGATCTCGGCAATCTCTCTCATGCTCTTCACACTCTGTGACAGGTTTGTTTCTTGGGTGGCACTGAGAGGGGGTGCAAACTGACCTCAGGAACTTGGACGAGTGATCTGCACACAGTTAGGCTTTGCGGTGGAAATGCACAGCCGCCGAGGCTGCGAGTGAGCTGCAAGCAGGCCGCGGCCCTTGCTGGGGTGCAGCGGGGAGAACCTCCCTTAGAAGGAGAAACCACTTCCCTTTTTTACTCTGAACCTAAGAAATCTGATAGAAACACATCTCTGTCAAAAACATATTTTTATGGCTCATGTGTTTTTGCGACTGAGAATATGAAGGCAGGAGTCTTTGTAAATCATAATAAGGACAGAGCTTAGCTCCCGTCAAAAGTGAAGAGAGCAAGCTTAGAACTGGTTTCTTCCCACTGGGAAAGGAAATGGTTTTCTCATTTAATTTCTTCCTGAGCACACCTGGGTGATCTGTTCTCTCACTTCTAGGGACGAGCAATGCAAATAGTTAAAAACAGCTTTTATGCAACAAAAAAATAAAGCTGGAATGTAGTCATTTTTTTCCAGTATAGGAAGGAACAGGAAACCATTCACCTGGCTCCTGAAAGGACAACCAGAAGCCACCGAGCCCTCCACGAGTGTTCACAACATGGTGAGGGGATGCCGTCTGCTTCATTTAGTTTAAAATTTTTTATATGATTTTTATGTAAGTTATGTGATTTACTTTTCTTTCAAACAAAAGGGCTACATGTTCAAATCAAACAAGATATAGTTTAAAAATTAATGATCCCGCCCAGCCGGGCGTGGCTCAGCGGTTGAGCGTCGACCTAGGATCCAGGCGATCGGGGTTCGATTCCTGGTCAGGGCACATGCCCGGGTTGCGGGCTGCAGCCAATCAATGACTCTCTCATCATTGATGTTTCTGTCTCTCTCTCTCCCTCTCCCTTCCTCTCTCTGAAATCAATAAAGATATACTAAAAAAAGAAAAAGAAAAGAAATACTTAAAAAAAAAAAAAAATTAATGACCCCCCAACCAATCCTACCCACCCCCACAATCATAGCAGTTTGGTGTGTGCTCCCACACCTTTCTGTGCGCATCCACACATACGCACTTTTTTCCGTTTTTTGGTCCTTTTTTCCCCAAAAAATGACATTTTCTATACACATTACTCTTCAGTATTTTTTTATGTGGAAGTATATGTCATGATTTCACTGTTGATCAGTAGATATAGCGCCATTCTTTGAAACAGTTGTATAATAACAGACAACATGGATTTACCACAAATTGCTTAACCACTCATTCCCTTATGTGGACATTTAGTTTGCTTCCCCTTTCCTATCTATACAAATAGCTACACTAAATACCCTCCTTAGAGTTCTTTATGTGACAGTATTTTATTTCTGCTCCCCCCCAATGTGCAATTGCTAGGTCAAAGAGTAAGCATATTTTTTAAAAAATATCAATAGATATCAACAAGCTATTGCCCTAAAATTTTGTAGCAATTCAGTTTCCCACCATCAAGTGTAAGACAGCACCTCAGTCTCACATCCGTGCCAGCAATGAACATTACTGTTTCCTGTTCTGTCAGTCTGCGGGAAAATAATTTTTTATTTCCATTTCCTTAACTTTTTTAGTGAGGTTGGGCATTTTATCATATACTTCTTGGTGATTTAAATTTATCTTCTTTAAACTGACTGCTCAAATCTTTTGTTTATTTTTCTATTAGGTTGCCTTTTTATTTTAATTTTTAGGAGTTTTGTCCATTAAATACACCAGCCCTTAACACATGATATGATTATTTCCATATCTCTTTGTGCAGTTTCTGTTGACTTTGATAACTTTTGTCATGCATAATTTTTTTAAACAATTTTATGTAGTTGAATTTTATGTCTTTCTTTTCCTTTATAGCTTCTGGATTTTTGGTCAAACTTATGGCCTCCCCCTACCTCATTTATATAGATTATATGATTTTCTTAATTTTCTTTTTCTGTTTTCATTGGCTTTGGTTGTTTTATATTTAGACCTTTACCTGGAAATGTTTTGTCTAATGTCTGATGTACAGTCTTTAGTTTGTTTAATTTCGTCTAAATTGATAGTCAATTGTGACAGTAACATTTACTAAATAAGCATTCTTTCCCCGTTAAATTGAAATATCATTGTGTCACAGAAAAAGTTCGTATACACACTTGAACTCTTTCTCTTCTCTCTGTTCTTTCCATTAATGCATTTTGTTTTTTCCTGTGTTAATAACTTGTTTTCAATAAGGCAGGTCTTCCTTCACTTCTTTTTCAAAATTTTCATGGTTTTCCTTGGATATTTGTCTTTCTGCATAAAGCTTAAGACTTCCGTTTGGGTTAAAAATTAAAGTAGCATTAAACATAAATATTAGTTGAAGAGGGAAAGATGTGTGGCAGAGCCTGAGAGCACTGAGGGAAAAGCAACCTTGAGGACGGGAGACCCGAGCTGGGCTCAGCCTCCACTTGGAGACGTTTCCCGTGTTCCTTCTTGACCAGGAAGATCATGGCTGATGCAGGGGCCTCTCTGTGCTTCCCTCCTGTCTGGCACCTTCCCACTCCCCAGTCCCTACCTCCGGGCACAGCAATGCAAACATAAAAAATTAATAGTGTCATATAGATATCAACTTTAATTAACATTCAAAAAACCTTGAGCAGAAAAGTGACAAATAAATATCTGGTAAGAGGTCCTTTATTTTTGAGAGGTCATACATTCACATATTTTAAGATATGCCTTCTGATTTTATAACTTCATTCCAGTGAACTTCTATATCTACAGAAAACTGAAGTTCACAATGATGTCCCAAATAAGGGAGTTGGATATATACTGCACTAACTAATGAAGGGAAATAACATCAACATAGTTTACAAAAATTATTCAACAAAGTGGTTAACACCATAAAGACTTCTAAAACTTACCTTTACTTTAGGGACCTAAAATAGCCAAATCCCTATCACACTCTATTAACTTATGTTTAAATTCATTGCTATCAAAAGTATGTGTTTTTAGTAAGTGAAAACAGAGGAAAAATAAAATAATCACTGAGTCTTCAAAATCTAACAGAGAAACAAAGAGATATAACTTCCATCATTTCACTCATAAAGTTAAACCCAGAAAACAGCAGTGACAGGATGTGGAAAAGAAATCTATGGCCCTTGTCTATGCCAGTTTATTCAGACCGTGAAACTTGAAGTCCCAACAGTAGCAGATGTTATCAGATGGCTATCTCCCTACATACATATGTGTGCCCGTATTTAGAATCTCACATTCAAGCTCACAGGCTGTGAATTCTGCAGTTCCTGAGCCCCCTCAGGAGAAAATACTTATACGGAAAATAAGTGGAACAAGGACTGGTGGGAATGAGAAGACGATTTCCAACAAAATATTTATGTATAGAAAACATCCACAGGATCTGAATTGTTTTACTTTTTATATCTACTTTATAAATATACTGAGACACTAACCTGTAAAATGTAGAATATGACGACGCTCAGCCCAATCCAGCTGTGCAGACTGTACATGTTGGGGATGTTCAGGGTATTGTGGAAATCAAAAACAGCCACCAGAGAAATAATTGCAAGAATGGCTGCAACGGCATTTAAGCCGGCGTGGATGGATTTCATCAGGAGCTTGCTGCATTTCCAGGTCCACGGCAGTCTGTACACAATGATGGCTACAGAGGGACAAAAGGGGACAGAATGTGGTTTGGGTTTTGTTTGATTTTTAATCGACACAAGATAAACAGTTGGACACATTGAACACCCCCTTCCACGAAACCCCTTTCTCTTGGCTTCTGCTTCCCCGCTCTTGCCGCCTCTCGATGGTTCTTTCTTGGGCTCTTTTGCTGGCTGGCATCTTCTTTACTCCCAACTTGTGAACAAACTCTGGTGCTCCCCAGGCTCAGTCCCAGGACCTTCCTCCCGCTACACTCTCTGTGGGTGATCTCATTCACTCACTAAAATGCTACCTGCATGGCAGGGTCTCCAGAATTTTCATCTCCAGCCCAGAACTTTCTCCCGAACTCCAGAACTACATCCTCCAATGGCTTCGTGACACCCATATAGATGCCTCCCACACATCCACATGTGGATGCCTCACACATCCACAACTGAAGTCTCAGCCTTATGGCCTGGTTTCTCTATAGAGATGTTTTGGTTTGATAAGAAAAAGGCAGACTAAGGATTAGAACAATATGCAAAAAGATTTAAATAGACAAAAGAGTATAACCAAGTGGCTAATGAACATAAGAAAGATATAAACTTCATTATTCAACAGAGAAATGCAAATTAAAATCAATTTAGAATACCTCTACCACATATCTGAACAGCTAAACACGAAACATACTTAGTATTACAGAAAATGTGAGGCAATCAAAACTTGCATGTTGTGCGATGGGCTTAAGTTTAAATGAGAACACACACTGGAAAATCAGCAGTATCTACTTCAGCTAAATGTATGCATACCTTAGAATCCAGCAAGTCCACTCCTGCTAGACACCCCAAAGAAATATGGTCACCAAGAGACACGTACTAGAATATTATTGGTAGCACTATTTGTAATGATCCAAACCTGGAAACTCCCCAAATGTCCATCATCAATAGAATGAATAAATAAATTGTGATACATTTATTCACACCATGGAATAATATAATACAGCAAAGAGAATAAATGATTTATAACTAGAACTTCACCCAGCCATAAGGATCAACCTATAATATCAATCCCAAGAAATAACACTTGAAAAAGTATATATCCTATGATTCAATTCATATGAAGTATAAAAACAGGAAAAACTCATCTGTGCAATAGTGGCTGCCCTTGTGAGGAATTGGTATAGCAAATGGAAGGGAATGCAGAAGGGATCGGCTAATATTCTCTCTTTCAGTCTGGGTGCTGGTTACATACCTAGATTCATCGAGCTACACATTTATATGCATGTGGATTAAACTTCAACAAAAACTATTTTTAAAACGAGTTGTATTTTTTTAAGTGCCCTGGTTTAAGCAATGGATTACATGGCCACCTGAACCAGTTTGCGACTACTTTTTGTGCTGAAGACAATATCCTGACTCTACCCACCCTCACCCCACCCCTCCAATGTTAGAGAAAATTTAGATATCTAGAAATGTATGGCAGATTGAAAAAAGTTTAAAGACTGCTTCCTTGGAAGATGGATTCCACTATATCAGCAGTGTATCATATATATCCCTTAATTCCAGCAAAAAACAAATAAATAAAAGCCTCTTCCCACCAAAGACATTTATAATTTAAATACATGAAACTTCATAAGATCATAAAAATGTAAGGGATTATCCAGACCATTTTCAGACAGAAACGTGTCTAAACCCACAAAGACAGAAGTGAAATCAACCTCTTTAACGTTTTCAGCACAAGATGTCAATCTTCCTAGTTGTTGGTTCCAATCCAGCACTTGACAGCCCTCACTGTTAGGACAGTATTCCTTTGATCTCATCTGAACGCTGAAGGATTGCTACTTGCTAATTTTAGTGCATAGGTGGGTATCTTATAAATGTTGATCGAGTATATTTCCTTGATGGCATGGAGACTTTTGGATAATCATTTCTATGTTCAGTGAATCTTTTCCAACCACTTAATGAAACAGCTTAAAGAGTATACTTTTAAAAGCTAGTTCAAGGCCCCTTCTCATCCCTAATTCATCCTTTCTGAGGGCAGGAAACTACGTTTTGCTGTTTCTCATATCCCCAGAGCCTAGGACAGCTCTGGGCTCGAAGTATGTAATTCTGTAAGTATCTTTTTACCCTTATTTTGAGATAATTTTAGATTCCAATGAAGTTGTAAGAAATAATACAAAGATCCCATGCACTCTACACCTAGTTTCTCCCAGTGGTAACATTTTACATAACTATGGCACAGTGTCACCACCAGGAAACTGATAACAATATAATCCACTGAACTCATTCCATTTCACTAGTTTTATTTATGTGTGTGTGTGACCCTGACTATTTTTTTAAATGAATGAATGTAAAGCGCTTTCTGAAGACTGATCAAAATCTATACATAGAAGTGATGGTTACTCAAACACTGTGCTTTCCCTTCCTCATGCTTTTTCTCCCCGGATGACTCAGTGGCACATGCAATACGATTCTCTAGATTTCAGGGAAAGTAAATGCCTCTCTAGCCAATGACTGAGTGACCTTTTATTCACACAGTGGAGCCTTTTGCAATCTGTGTGATCAGGCAAAAAATGTGCAATATACGAAGATCTAATAACACGTCTCCCCGCGTTCTGGTTTTACCCCTTTTATTACACACACACACGCACACACACACGCCTGCACACAGCTGAACCCTAGCTAGGTAGCAGGCACCATGCTAAGTGCTTCACATGTTTACATTTTAATTCTCACTTCGACTCTGTGAGGAAGGTATGATTATGCAAAGGAGGAAGGTGAGGTACAGAAAGGTTCAGAAGCCTGCTCTATCTCAATTAGTGTTTTAAAATTAATATCGTCGTCATCATCTTCATTTCATTTAAGCTCCATCCCCAGGGGAAGGAATCTTAGATGAGGGAGCTTGAAAACCTGGTAGATAATACTCAGGATGTGTTTGCTTGGAAAGCAAGTTATGAAGAGTAAATCGCAATAGCTTTCTCCCCGATCTGAATCATATTAGATTGAAAATTTCCAAAATCAAAACTAATCTCTGATGTTAGAGTCAGGAGTGATCATCATGACTGAGAGGCGTTACAGGGTTACTGCGGGGATTCTGGTGCGCCTGAAATGTTTCACGATCTGGGTTCATGAGTGTGCTCATGTTGTAAAAAGACATCGCTTATGATTTAAGCACTTTTCTGCATGTATGTAGTTCTTCAATAAAAAGTTTATCTAAAGAAAAAGTTATCAAAAACTTCCAAGACAACGGTGTTCCCAGGGAACGCTTTTTAACTCTTCTTGATCCTACGGGCATCAGAGAGAAATGTGTCAAATATTCCATAAAACTGAGATTTACCCCCATTGAGTATCAGAAACTGATTTTTAAACCTTTTGTTTACTCAAGTGTTTTCAAATTCATTGCACACTAGCTTTCCCTCCCCAGCAGCAGCATGAATGGAGCATAGGTTCACCTTTTATTTGTGATTCAGAGTGATCAATAAGACATACTGTCCTATTACTGTAAGAGTCAGCTCTTGGGGGCTTCTGCAGGAGGAGAGGTGCCTGCCTCTGATCCAAATGGGCCCAGCCCACTATAGGTTTGTAGCCCCTGGATCTAGTTTAGAGTTTTTCTCTTTCTTCTTTTAGTTTCTGGCTCAGGCTACGGTGCATGCCTCCAAACTCTTCCCTCCGTCCTTTTATCTTTTATTCCTACCAGCTCTAAGTTCTTGCTTATAAATTTTTATGTTGGCAAAAATCTTCATACATTTATTCAGTTTGGGTAGTGAGCACCTAGCGATCTGTTTATTATTTTCTGAATGACTGAAAGAATTCATAATAGTTCTAAAGTTAAAACAACACTTTTGTAAGCTTGCAAACCCATAGCAAACTAGTCTCAACGACTACATAAGGCAGCTTGTGGGAATCTGAGGGGCTCTCAGAATTCTCAACCTCTATCCTGGCTGCAGGGAAGCTCTGCTGGATAGTGGAACTTGCTTTAAAATGTTCTCTGAATAAATGAAGGATAATTGCAAAATATTGCATTTGGATGAGGTGTTTGCATGCTTTAAAAATGTATAAATAACCAAAATGTGGTGGACTTCAGGAGAAAAGGGCAACTGTAACAAATCAGACCACATTCTCCAACAAGAAGCTATTCTCAACACTTAGAGTACCTGCCTGGAGAGCAGAACTTAAATATTTCTTGCTCCTTTGGCTTGGCACTTACCTAGACACCATTCCTGAGGTTCAGTGGGAAGGAAGAAAAAGGTCTCATAAGCCCATGAGTAGGCAAAAGCTATCAAACAGCTACTTGTGACTGAAACAAGAGTTTTCTGTTAGAGATCCTACTTGGAAAGACCACTTGTCCCCCAAAAATGAAGGGAAACAGGAATGCACTCATCCAGATGCTCGACTTACTTTGGGCTCCATCTCAGCAAAGCCATCGTCACGTTGAAAATATCGGAATGCATTTAATCCATCTAACCTACCAAACATCATAGCTTAGCCTAGCCTACCTTGAACGTGCTCAGGACACTTACATTAGCCTTCAGCTGGGCAAAATCACCTAACACAAAGCCTGTTTTACGATAAAGTGTTGACTATCTTATGTAATTTATTATGCGAATCACCTTCACGTCATCATAAAGTGAAGTGATCCTAAGTCAGATCACCACAAGCCGGGGACCATCTGTATATGTGAGAAACACATTTACAACCTTTTTACAAGAACAATTACTGGTAGTGGGGCATTCTATTGTGATAAATTTTGAAAAAAAAATGAAGGAAGAAAATAAAAAGGAAATCAATACTTGCGTATAATTAGTCTTTGGACCATGAAGAGGAAAATACAGCAACTTGAATTCGAATTTAATTATTAAAACATTTCTCAGCTCCTAGCTGCGTAATTAACTCAGGAATCTGTGGAAATATATATTCTCTAAGATGCAGTCCCTGGTTTGACATCAGCTTTCAACCCACATGCCATCCCGAAACCATCTATATGTACAAGTTTGTCTTACAGCAGGCAATGCCGACTTAG